TTTTTTCTTTTTCTATAAAATTCTTATTCAAATACTTAGATATAAATAATATATATATATATAGCTTAAATAGTAAAGTAAAATAAAGAGACAAACAAATAAATAAATAAAAGTTAAGATTAAGAAAGCAAGCCTGGTATAGTGAAAGCACGTCAAAGACGCTGTCCTAAAGCCTTTGTAGCCTCCCTACGTGCAGGTAATGACGGTCTACAAGACTCCAAGATACGACCCCAATACGCAGGCTTAAGGTCCGCTATGAGCACGTTCACAGTCGGATAGAGATTTCCAAGCCACAGAACCGTTGCCCAAAATAATATAGAAAGTAGGGAATATATGAAAGTATGAGAATAGAGAAATCTGATTGTGGTGTGTTGAAATGTGAAGGAGGAGTGGCCTTTTATAGGCATCCAATACTCGTAACCTCCAGACACATTTAACCAGAAAAGTTGGTGCAATGAATAGAAAATAAAAACTGAAAATTAAACAATTTGTAACTCCCATAATAAATAAAAGAAAACAGCCAAAAATTAAAACAGAAAATAAAACATTAAAATTTAAAATCCTTTCAAATAATAACAGTATCATCATGTTTGACACAGTTTTGGCATCCAACCTTCCGGTGGCCTCGAGGTTGTAATTGATTTGGTAAGTTTTAATGGCCGACTCCAATTGGTCGTCAAAATCATCATTCTGGGAATGGCCATTCAAGAAACCAAATTTTTCAAAGTATTTTTTGACGTCTACGATGCCTTGGACATTGTCACCCTTGCGACACCCCTTAACCTGCTTAAGATACTCAAATGATGATGCTGCATGGGAGAGGAGAGGGAGGAGAAGAAGGAGGAGCAGGGTAGCACTACTACAAAATCTAGTTATGGGCACTAATATTATTTGTGCTCTTTAGTATAAAACGACACAATTATTCGTGCTCTATACAGGGCCGTCCCTGAGATTTTGAGGGCCCTGTGCGAAACTTAAATTGGGGCCTCACATAATCTAATACAAAAATACTATAAATAAAAAAAAATTTGCCATAACTTAATGTTATAAACAATTTTTTTATAACTAAAAGTCACCATCAATAAATATGTAATGAAAATTAGAAATCAAATTCATAAAAATTTAAATGTGTCCATTTGATAAATTTAAATGTTTGGTACAAAAATAACCTCCTTGTGCCTGCCCCTATAAGGTCCCTTGCTGCCTTAAATAAGCAATCTCTGGTTAATAGGAAAAAAAAATTGGCAATCACAAATTAAAGAGTAGCATAACTATTTGATTTTGAGTGGTCTTTATGAATTTAGGAATTATGAATTTCTCTTTTTGGTGTTGAAATTCCTGAAATTGAAAGAATAACAAAAATGGTCAAAGGACTAAAAAAAGAACCAAAAGAAAGATTGATGAATGATGATGATTACTTTACCAGAAAATCAGAGTTTAAGAGAAATAAAAACCATGAAGTGTTTTTGGTTTTGAAGTAAAAAGTGTTTGGGGAATATATATACTCTTCTTGTTGTTAGCTTCGAT